TATTTTACAGGCACTGGTGAGAAACTTTCTCCCAATAAATAATGTTGCAACCTGATATCTTGTACTGCAGAGGTTCTTACTCCATTGTGTGTTTTCTGTTTTCGAACTGAGTTTGATATCATTTAACTCATTCCCCTCCAGATGGTTTTGAGGGAAGTGATATTAAACTCAGTTCGAAAACAAAACACACAATGGAGTAAGAACTTCTGCAGTACAAGATATCAGGTTGCAACATTATTTATCTGGAGAAAGTTTCTCACCAGTGCCTGTAAAATATGAACATTTCATTTACATCGATTATTAATTTTAGCCATACGTGAACAAGTGATTGTTTGGGAGGGAGCTGTAAAAAAATGTTGGTATGATAGCATACCTTCTTTCCGACCGAGCCCTCGGCACTGGCTGCAGCCATTTTTTTTTTTGTCAAGAGAGTGGCAGCTGGCCACCGCGGCAGCAGTGATGCTTCATGACGTCACGGCGGTTATGTTGCCCGCCAATAGCATTGAGTTGAACCCGCTTGTTGCTACGGTCTCTTGCAAGAACGAGGTGTATTTGTAGATACGGTTACAACGTTAGAAGGAATATAGGATGTTGATTAGCATAATTATCGTGTTGGTAAAGCTGTGACGAACGTGGTTTTAAACGAAAGACTGTATTTCTTGCAAGTACTTCGGAGATTAGTGCGTGTGATGGATAAAGCTCATTTGTGTGAAAGTTTAATGAAATGGGTTAGTTAACACGTCACTAGTATGCTAGAATAGCAGTACACTAATACAGTATTTTATTTTTCATGATTGAGTATAAAATAAGAGATTTGTTTTAATTTCTCTGTCAAAGAACGTAGTGCATGCCCCACACTTCTCAAGACGAGACTTATTTGTAAAAGCCCACGAAATATATCATGACAGTATGCTAGGAATGTAGCGGGTAGAATTTGTTTGCACTTTTGTGTTTAAAGGGTGAAAGGTAAAGAAATTGTGATTTCAGTAAAAGAACTTTTATTAGAAGTTAATATGCAGTTATGATTTGGATTCTGGCCTTCTGGGGCTATGGGATGTAGTGTAGGTGGTTTTTAATGTTTTATAAGAATCTGCTGCCTCCATTGTCACTTTACAAGCCTGACTATTAGACTACACGATGTAATAGCCTAAGAAGACAACAGTATAATGGTGTTTATTTCCATTGCTATATACACATGACAGAAGTATGGGCCATTGAAAATACAGCACAACTTTGTGCAGTAATACAACTTTTATAATTATAGTCAAAATTAAACCTAATGTAAGTACATGAACTTGAGGCAAAAACTGGTATTCTATAAAAGTAAGTAAAGCTATCCCTGTAACAGGCCATGAAGGCCCATAGGGTTGTGAGATGTTGAGGGTCCCACATTATCTAGACAGTCGGCTCAAAGATGGCGGTAAGGTTGTCAGCCTTACGCGCCGGCCGCGCTTTACTCCCCAGGAAAATTATTTATTTAATTTCTGGTACTCATTTCTGTTAGATTAATTAAACCTGCCTCATTGTATACATACACTTCAACATAAAAAAATTTACAGTACAGTATATATCGAATGTAAACATTGGTGAATGTATGAAGGAGCAGTCAAGGTTATAGTGAATGTACATTACCTGTTGATGGCTGGAGTGGTGAAACATAGTAGTAAACACTTAGCAAACAGTATATCTATAGTTGTACCGACAGAAATATGTAGAATTGAAAATGGAACACAACATGACTCTACAATATGGTATTTACAATAGTATAAAATTTTGCTGACATAAAATCTTATGCAGTTATGATCTGTTTTGTATAGGCCATGTGCTGATTCATTAATATCCTTAACTTTACAACTTAAAACAAATAATGGAATGATCTTATTTATCAGTTGCAGACTTTTGATTTGGATGCTCCACACAAAACTTTGGAAGAAATTAGTGATGGTGTTGCAATGGCGCAGGCTCTCACTCAAATGTAAGTAAGACTTGTCACTCAGTAATGAGCTGAATACCAAGAAGGTGTTTCCCCCCTTTTTTCTTCATTTATATATGGCAAATTTGAAATTTGGGAATGTGAATGTGAATTCTGAAATTGAATTTAAGCTCTAGTTCTACTCATGTGGTCATTACATTATCCTCACCCTGTCATTGTGATTAAATGGAATGATGTCACCCTATGTGCTGTTCCACCTCAAAAGTTACTTCTGTCAACTTGGCCAGGCAGCTAGAGGCCAGTAAGGAGTAACCAGAGGCACTGTAAAGACATTAAAGCATGCACACATGCACACACGTGCACGCACAAAGGATGGCCACAAATTAAATCAGCAATTTCAAACTTAACATATATCACAAAATTTTTTAGAATTCTCAGGAAATGGACTGCATTGTTCAAAAGAACCATTGAAAATGTTCATATTAATTTATTGGCTAGCTGATAGTGGTGCTGCTGAAACATACACAGCTGATAAATGAAAATTGTCAGTTCACCCTCCTTCTCCACCAGCAAAAGGCAACGTTTATTCCTGTTAGTTCACACATTAGTTATTAGCTGTCTTACAGCTTGTTTATAAAACCTTTGAAAGCTTTATAGTCTCTTCTACATCACTGGTGTATGCATAATACATGTTTTGACCAACATTAGTCATGTTCAGTGGAATTGTTGATGAAACTGCTGTGCTTTTGCTCATAAGTTAAATTTTTGGGGTATGCCCACATCTATGTGTCAATGTGTCTGTAACATGTTTTAGTACCTTATATTAGTATTTTGTGTATGACATGTGTTGGTGTTTCTTATGGTATATTTGTATATATACTTACCCTGTGGTGATGGGTAGTTTCTCTTATTGTGTCATGTATTTGTTCTAATGTTTGCTAAGCTCAGTTGGTTCTGTTTTATATACAGTGTATGTGCTCCTGCCTGATGTTTAATTCTTGTAATGTTTCAAATATTGGGTTATATATGTCAGTATATGTGTCATTGACGTGTAGTCTGTTTTTACCAATTTTATGTATGTGGTATTTTTCGAATGTAATAGGTGTTTTCCTTTTTTCTCTCTTCTTATGATGTTCATTGTATCAGTTATACTCCAATGTTTATGTCCTTTGCTCAGCATATGGTTTCAGTATCCAGAATTACCATTGCCTGTTGTAAAATATTAAGCCTATTTGCCCTATGTATTTTAGGGGGTGATTCCATGCATTTCAGTTGGTAAATGCCACTTTTTCATATCTGCCTATTTTTGGATGGGGTTTTACTATGATTTGTAGTGTGTTCTGTGTTTTGGATGCTACTGTTATATGTGTTCCTTTAAAGAGGTCTGTGATTTTCTTTGTTTCTTTACCACTGTATTTGAAAGTGGCCCACCTGGATTTTTGTGTTGTGGATTGGTGTTTTTGTTGTGGATGGAGGAGACGCCCTCCAGTTTTAGAGGGAAGCTGTGACTATATTGAATAAGCAGTCGTGGACAGCCGACAAGGGGTGGCCCTCCAGCTTGGGGTTGGGCATGGGGCTAACAACTCCTCACCGTAAGAAATCATTATGTTACGAAAATGAACACAAAAAGGGAAGACCAAGGCGTAGGTGGGTGGACAATATTAGAATGGATCTTAGAGAGATAGGATGGGATGGTATGGATTGGATAGATCTGGCACAGGATAGGGACCAGTGGATGGCTCTTGTGAGCACGGTGATAAACCTTCGGGTTCCATAAAATGCTGGGAAATTCTTGAGTAGCTGCAGAATTGGCGGCTCCTCCAGAAGGGCTCAGCTCCATGAGTAAGTAAGTAAGTGTTGGTTGGGATGTCTCATTTCTGAAGACGCTGTTCGGATTGTTAATTGGTTTATTTAACAACCTACAAGTATCGGCTACAATTAATTATGACAATGTTACGGGTTTCCACACTTTACAAACCCTACAACCAAATCTCTTCGCACTATCACGATTCACTCTTTACAACTGAAATCGGTGACTACTACAATTCAACTCACTCCTTACTGCTCACTGCTGGCTAGATTCCAACTCAACTCATAGGCTGCTGCCTTGAGAACTGTCTTCGGCGCCTGTGTAGTTCCCTTATAAACCCTCAGCCGGACAATGGGAAAACAGTTACGTAATAGGCACCACTGTTGTCTGATTCCGTGTTTGCCTGTTACGTAATGGGTACTGCTGTTATTACTGACGTCTTTGCAACCACTGTGTACCTGCTTTGCTTAGCAACTGCTGTTTACTCGCTTTGCTTAGCAACTGGTGTTTACTCGCTTTGCATAGTGAGTAGCGTGCTGGGACTCGGCTCACTTCGGCTCCGCTCGGTACGTCACAGCTGGCGGGGAGGGAGGGGCGACATCCATAGCGCAACACATCACACCGCTCCCTCCTTAAGGCTGTTCGTCCTGAATAGCCTAACTGTGCACCCCCATTCCTTTGTCTTTGGAGGCTGTTCTTGCAGCATCTTCTTTGTGTCCTGCTACTGTTTCTCTTCTCCCCATTGCTCTGCTCTCCAACCACTATATCTTCCCCCTTTTTATGGTTGCTCGCCTCTAGCAGCTCCATGATAAGGCGCGAGGCGATCCAGGTGTACTACCAACATATTCGACCTAGGGTTCCTCTGGATTTGGTATACCACATCACATATCTGGGTCACTACTTTGTAAGGACTCTCCCACGGTGCTTGTAGTTTCGGTGATTTCCCTTTCCTGCGGGTTGGGCGATAGAGCGAAACTCTGTCGCCTTCGTCGTAACCTGCGGAGTTGGCCAGTTTATCGTGTTGAGTTTTCATCCGGTCACTGGCGAGCTTCAGGTGTTGTCGGTCATAATTGTGGATGTCATGCAGATGATACACCAAGTCTGCTGCATAATTGGTTGTGGGTAGTTCTTTGTCTGGGGGTACCCCAAACAGCAGGTCACAGGGTAGTCATAGTTGTCGACCGAGCACTAGGCTAGCAGGGGTCAAGCCCATAGTGTCATGAGTGGATGCCCTGTAAGCTAGGAGAAAGAGGGGTAACCTCTCATCCCAGTCACTTTGGTGGGATGCGACGACCTTCCACAAGTGCTCCTCGATGGTCTTGACGTAGCGTTCCACCATTCCATCCGACTGTGGGTGCAGGGGTGTGGTGCGCGTCTTGCTCACTCCCAGGTGTTGCAAAACTTCTTGCAGTAGATGAGACTTGAAGTTACGGCCTTGGTCACTGTGCAACTCTCGAGGTATGCCGAAGCGGCAGAAGAAGTTGGCAACCAGAACTTCCGCTATTGTCGATGCCTCCTGATTCGGGATGCCGTACACTTCCGGCCACTTGGTAAAGTAGTCTATGGCGAGCAGTAAGTATCGGTTTCCTTGCTCGCTTCATGGGAAGGGACCTGCGATATCAATGGCTACTCTCTTGAAGAGATCCCCGACATTATACTGGTGCATTTGCCCACGATTCCTGGTCTGCGGTCCCCAACTGGCTGCACATGTGTCACACTGTCGACACCATTTCTCAGTATCGGTTCTTGCTTGGAGCCAGTAGAATCTCTGCTGAACCTTATTCAGAGTTTTGTTGACACCGAAGTGACCTCCTGACGGTCCACCGTATAGTTCGCTCAGAACGTCTGAGGAATAATTATCTGGGCTACTTGACGTCTTCCGTTGGTGGATTCCAAGTCGCGCTGTAGTACGCTGTTTCTCACAGTGAGCGATTTCCACTGGGCCCAGTAACTTTTGTACGTGGGACTCCGATCCGCGATGTCCTGCCATTTCGGCCATTGGCCATTTTCTAATTCCTGTAGAAAAGGCCCTATGTCTGGGTCTTTTAGCTGTTCCTCTCTTAGGGTAACCGGGTCCCAGCTGGCTGCCGGTAGGGTTCCAATAGTGCGTATTTGCTTTACATCTGCCCGTGTCTCAACTTTGTGGTAGTGCGCACGTTGCTCTTGGCAGGATCGTCTAGAAAGGGCGTCGGCGTTGTTATGTTTCCGGTCCTGACGGTGCTCCGAAGTAAAGTGGTACTCCTGTAGACGCTGTATCCAGCGCGCAGTTTGTAGAGGTACTCGTGAAAATGTTCCAATGACCTTACTATGGCAAGTAGTTCTCATCAGGTAACACAGTAATTTCTCTCTGCTTTGTTTAGCGTCTTGGTGAAATAAGCTATGACACACTCTTGTCCGTCCTGTATTTGAGAGATTACTCCTCCAATTCTGACATTATTTGCATCTGTGTCCACAATGAATTTCCTGGCTGTGGGTAGGCAAGAATAGGGGCAGCACATAGAGCACTCTTTAGTGTTTGAAAAGCGGCCTCCACTTCTGGAGTCCACTGGAAGGTTTGTTTCACTTCCGTTAGTTTCATTGGTGGTTTCACAATGTTGGAAAACCGTGAAATAAATCGCCTGTAATACGCGCATAATCCCAGAAAGCTCCTAATTTCATATTTATCCTTTGGGGTCGGCCATTCTCGCATGGCTTTCAATTTTTCCATGTCGGTGGATATACCTTCTGGTGAAACAGTATGACCGAGGTACCTGACCTCTTCCTGCAAAAGTTTACACTTTTCCGGGTTAAGTTTCAGATGGGCTTCCCTGAACCTCTCAAACACTTTCCATAGGTTGAGCATGTGCTCTTGGAATGTGCAGCCTATTACGATCACGTCATCTAAATACGCAAGGCATAAATTGTGCGTGAGCCCTCGTAGGACTGTCTCCATTAGCCTCTCGAAGGTTGCCGGAGCATTGCAGAGGCCAAAGGGCATGACTGTGAACTGCCATAACCCTTGACCTGTCGAAAATGCTGTTTTCTCTTTGTCGTCTGGGTGTACATCGACTTGCCAATAGCCACTCTTTAAATCGAGAGTTGAAAACCATTTGGCTCCGGCCAGCGTGTCCAGGGTGTCGTCAATGAGGGGTAGTGGAAAGCAATCCTTCTTGGTGACGACATTCAGCATTCTGTAGTCCACACAGAAACGGAGCTCCCCATTCTTTTTCCTGACCAAAACGACCAGGGATGACCAAGGGCTGTCCGATTCTTCTATAACCCCTGTCCTCGCATGTTGTCGAGCATTTCCTTTACTTCTGTTTGTTTAGCTAGGGCTACCCTCCTTGGTGGCTGTTGAATTGGTCGGGCTTCTCCCGTGTCTATGCGGTGATATACTTTGTTTGTCCTTCCATAATCTTCGTTGTTCTGTGCGAAGATATCTGCGTACTCGGCCATGAGTTCTTCCAATTCTTGAAATTCTCTGGCGTTTAGGTGTGGCTTGGCCGCTGTGGTGATGTCCGCCAATTTTGGTTTTCGGCCTGGTGCTGGTGGCTGCCCCACATTGGGAAAAGTCACAAGTGTTACTGGCTTACAGTGTGCCAGAGGAGATCCTGAGCTTTTGGTCCTTGTGGGTAACATTCATGACCCTCACTGGTACTTCCTGACCGTCCTGAACTAGGGTCCTGGCTACATAGATTCCATCAGGTGGATGGGCATGCTGGCTTGGTTCTACTAGGCCACTTTTTACTCCCAGATGATTCTCCATTTTAGCTATCAGTATTCCCTCGCTCTATGCGGGTATCACATGGTCCTTTGCCACTACTAAGCTGGAAGGACGGGGTCCTGCCCCAGGATTCCATGATGAAACTTCTTCCACCAGACGCAGAGTTTGGCACCCTATGTCCACAGACGCATCATAGGCGTGCAGTATGTCCCAGGATGAGCTCATATGTGATGTTCGCGACAAAAACCCACATTGTTATCGGTCGACGCCCCAGGGTAAGGGTCAACATAACTTCTTTCAGGATGGGTAGGGATCCTCCTGACATGGTCTGCAGCGTGAAATCTGGATTTGGCTGTCTTTCAGGCCATCTGGCGGCGATATCTGGTCTTACTACTGTGACATATGCTCAAGTGTCCACTATCACCTGGCACGGCTTATCACCGACCCATCCCTGGGTGACCAGACTGGTGTTGGCTTTTTCCGTTATGTCTATAATTGCGTAGTGTGGGGGCCTTAGTTCATATGCCAGCGTTCGCCCTCTTCCGCCAGCCGTCGCTTGTTTCCCGACAGTTGGGTACCCTTCCTGTTTGTGTGTTCGTTGTGGCTTCTTGGCAATTCCTGTGTGTATCTGCCTGGCCTATCTTCCTGTTCTTGGTGCACTTCATTATTAGCCTTTCTTTCATAGGGGCAGTTATTCCCGAAGTGGCCCAGTTCTCCACAGCTCCTGCACCTGGATTGTCTTCTGTCTCTTCGTTGTGTGGGGGGTGATTGGAACTTGCGGTATGTCTTGGTGCAGTTCCTTTTGTGTTTTTCCAGTTCTTTCTGTAAGCTCCTGAAGCTTTACTTCTGTCCTGGCTTGGTTATGTATTCATTGTTATATAGTGTGTCCTTTGTGATGCTTAGTAGTTCCTTTCTGTGGGGGAGTGGGGGTATGTGTTCATTCTAGAAACACCTGAAGATGACCAGTGCTGTCGAAACATGTAGTGTTTATACACCAATGATGTAGATGAGACTAAAGTTTAAAACTTTTAAAGGTTTTAAAAAGCAATTTGCAAGTTTGATGACTAATAACTAACAAGTAATAAATAAGTGATATGCAACAGAGTACGACGATACAATATTAGGCAATGTAAGATTTGAGGCTTTCACGGCGGTGACTATGAAGAAAGTAGTCTTCTGGGATTTGGCACCGTGTATAAGTGGTGTTAACACCACTTANATACACGGTGCCAAATCCCAGAAGACTGCTTTCTTCAATATTAGGCAATGTTTGTATTGTGGTACTGGGAGACAGAATCAGTATTCAAGTGCAAAAACATCACTATCAGGAATATGGAGAACAAGCACCTGGAAGACAGTCCATTAAGTGATAGTTAGAACAGTTTCAAGAGACAGGTAGTGTCTTGCTTAAGAAGGGTGCATGAGGTGATTGGACCCGTCTTCTTATGTGAGAATACCATGAACAGTACAGATGATCTTGGTGTGCTTGAGTTGTTTGCAGTTCCACAAATGTCACACCTTCAGGCAAACTTTTTTTTTTCAGCAAGATAGTGCCCCTCCACATTGGGGCCTTACAGTGAGAGAGACTCTGAATAAAACTTTTCCAGACAGATTGGGTTGGATGGACCAGTCCCTTGGCTCCTCATTCCATTGATATAACCCCATTTAGTTTTTCTCCAGGTAGTGTGGTTGAACTTCATGCACAAATCAACAGTGCACCTGCTTCTACGAAACTCCAGATGCTGGAAAACACATGACATGAAATAGAATACTGTTTGGACATTCTGTGGGCTACAAATGGTGCTCACATTGAGATGTATTGAAATTGATGAGTTGTTCTTTCATGTAAAGCAAACCATATCTCTGTATCTCGTATAGTTTTTGTTTTGTGTGTACTTGANTGACCACTGGAAAATTGCTGATGCAATAGCGGATTGAAAAACGGCATCCATGTCTCATCCATTGTCACAGTTGATGAAAAGAAAGTCCCATTCATGCCTTCATCACGTGTCAACATCGCCTGGCAAATTACCATGTGTGCAGCCTTGTGGTCATCCGCCAGAATTCGTGGCACCCACCTGGAGGACACTTTCCACATTTGCAGGTCTTCATGCAGGATTTTGTGCACAGATCCCACAGAAATGCCAACTTTGGAGGCGATGTTTTCCACACTCAATCGGCGATCCTCCAAAACAACTTTCTCAACTCGTTCGACCATGTTGTCAGACCGGTGGGTGCGAGGCCGAGATTGTTTTGGTTCGTTGTCACACAACATTCGGCCTTCTCTGAACTGTTGCACCCATGAACGCACATTTTTCACATTCATGACACCATCACCACACGTCTCACTCAACTGGCGATGAATGTCAATGGGTGTCACACCATGCAAGTGGAGAAAACGAATGATTACTCGCTGTTCTTGTAATGAAAATGTCGCCATTTTAAGTATCAAAAACACTCCTCACTCTTGCTGCTACCACTAGAGTTCTGTGTGCCGTAGAGTGCTGCCATCTCTGTCACGCATTCACAAAGCATGCACACGTATTTTAAACTAAACCGCATGTGTCTATCTGCTCCCAGTCCTGAGAAAAAGAATCGGAGACCTTAGAACTTGAACGCTCCTCGTACTTCATTCTGTTCTTGTCAGTTTATGTGTCATTGTTAGTGCTGATGATTCTGCAGCCTGTAATCAAAGTAGTTAGTAACTGAGTTCTACATAGATATCATGTCTTTTTCTTCAGTGCTCCAGAGTGGTTTGGAGAGTCTTGGATGTCAAAGATTAAAACCGACGCTGGTAATAACTGGAGGTTGAAGGTGAGCTGGAATACATTGTAACAAAAGTTATGCATTGGAAACTTAGCTGTATGTATATCTTGCCTTTTTGGTGTATTCTGTACAGTTGCTGTAAATATGTATTATCACGTGGGCATGTTTCTTAGCCATTTGCCTATTTGATTTAAAACATTAGTGTTATGCTATTAGCCCAGTTGTATTCAGGTATATTTAAGTGAGATTTTACTACATTTTATTACATTAGGAGGGACAAGAGTCCATTCAATTTTACTATCTTCTAATATATTGAGATGAGTAAAGGCTTAAGCAGAGGTTAACAAGTTTACAGTAAGAATATTGTTACTGCAGTTAAGTTTCCTGCTACAATTCAGCAAGTTTATTGAAAATTGTTAAATGTTAGCAAGTAAGAGGAATTCAGTGATAGTAATATAATGTGAAAGGAAATTGTACTTTGCATGGAACTGTCAGTATTGTTGCAGAATGATGTCGGTAGAATCATATGTTCAGAAATGGTCAGTGATCTTCTCATGTGTTGCATACAGATTTGTTTTTACATGAAAAAGGGACTGTATTCAGTTGGGTTTTTTACACAAATTACAAAATGCCCTCTCTCTCTCAGTAAATCCAGTAAAAGTAGTTCACCACAGAATATGATTTTGTTTGTTCAGATTGAATTGTTTGTTAATTGGTATGTTGTTAATTTTGTGTTTTGATGTTGATAATTTTATTGATGTCTTACATTTTCAGAAGTTAGTGGTTATATATCTCCAGTGAGGTTTCCCCCCACCCCCAGTTTGTTATATACATTGGTGTTACCTTGTAAGATTGCACCAGCTTGGTAGAACCTGTTGAAAATTTGGTGATCTGCAGAACTTGTTGGTAAAAAATTGTTGAAGCGTAATGTTAAAATGAAATTGGAGCCACAGCAAACAGTTATGATGAAAGAGATAAATCAATCAGTGCATTGGCCCCCCAGTACAACAACTAACATGAAGGATGGCTCTATTCATGAGTGATTTCTATAAAAAAATCAGGTTTTGCCACTGTAAATGTTTATTTGTTATAATCTTCTGAAATTACAGGATATTCAGCAGGAAATGTGTGAAATGCAGTGTTTGCTATAGGTTGAAGCATGAGGACAGGCTACTGAGCGTATGATAGGTCATTACTTGACACGATATTACACTCCTGGGTGCACTGAAAAATAAAATGAAAGTGTATTTTTTTTCTCTCACAGCAGTCCAGAAATAAACATATGACATTATGAAGAGACTGGGCTATCATACATCATATAGTTCACAGTGACACTGTTGTGTAGTGTCCAAATGCCACTGGTGCCTATTCCTCTGTTGTCCACCTTGCAGATGTCTAGTCTTGAGTGCTGTGTGTATATTTCCATGCCTACTTCTTCCTCTTTCTTTTCTCCTTTCTCCCTTAGGTACCCCTTTCATTTTTATTTCTGGCAGCCTTTCATGTATCATTTGTTGCGCATGATAATGCCAGCATAATCATTTCTTTTCTGTAGTATCCATAATATCTGTTCTCATACTTTCTCAAACTTTTGTGTACTTTGTCCATCCTAGATATACCAGGCCATCTCAGAAAATTCATTTTTGTAGGTAGTAGTATCTATCACACATTAAATTTATATTCAGAATTACTGGGTTTTTGAACTTTGTCCATCCATTATTCTAAAAACTAGAGTACACAGTGTTCGGAAAGTGGATCTGTTTCTGTCCTCCAGTGAGAGTGGAAGTATCTACTCTATTGGGTCCCTTAGAAAGAGCTAACCTCAATGACTGGACTACTTCTTGTCACTATAACTACAGCTATATAAATACTTAAGACCAGGCTTTGTCAAAGGTAACAGGAACACATGAAATAAAAATTGTGTGCAGACCTGAAACCAAGATGGAAAGGGAGGTGAAAATTTTATGCAACAAACCAAGTTTGTGAAAACCAGTGCATAGGATTAAATGGCTACCTAGCACCATCTGTTGAGTAAAAACTGAACTAAAAATTGTAGAAACCAATGAAGAATCTGTCACATCATACTGATCTCTGGAGTCGGTACCCACGGTGCTAATAAGGGGGATCTATATGCCAGAAATGTCCAAACTGGGTTGGCGAATCAGATTGGTTAAGCATGTCATATAGGCTAGTTTCTTGTATTTCCAGTACCTGCTGTTATGTTCAATTTAAAAAATCCTAGCTTCTCAGCGTGCACTGTGACCTTCTACATAGGGATGTTGGGCTAATTCTGAGCATTGTACACAATCATCAGAACCGTTTAGAATCTACTTAAATTCAGTTGTTAAAATACAGTTGTTATGATCATTACTTCATATACTGTATTAATCTTCCAGTTTTTATTGTATTCTTGTTCTGCCATATTGAATTCAAGGCATTTGTGCCTTATGGGCCTATGTAATTGTGACGTAAATATGTGTTTGACTTTGTGGTTTTCTTTTATGGCATCATCTCGTACTATTGTCATTTTTCTTTATTTTTCTTTGTTGACACTACATGTTCTGGCATAACCGGCCATCTTCAGGTGTACAGGTTCTTATGATTAAGGAATCTGCTGCTCATTGTACGAGTAATACTGTTTTGTTTCTCTTATATGAATGCCTCAGATTACTTCTGGTTATGTGGCTTAACCTTAATGTTATTTTCTGAATTAAAGTTACATACACTTCATTGCTCCAAGATGCCAAACAGTTTACTTGTTAAACACAATTGTATGCTGTAGCCAAGTCCATAAATACAAAATGTATATCTCATCCTATAACTTTCTCCTTTCCTATTAATTGTGTTGGGTAAAACATATTTTTTATAATTAATCTTCCAGTCATGAAAACTAACTCATCTTTCACCTCTGAATTTCTATATTGTTCTTCTCAAAAGTATGTTAATCTTCTACTATATTTATGAGGCCTTTTAAAAAAATAACGTCCATTGAGTTGTTAGCAAAACAAGCAATGGTAGCATAGTTGGTTGAGCCACTATGCTACAAGCCAGAAGGTCTGGGGTTTTGAGTCCCAATGAGGTGGATTTTTTCAGTTTACCTAATCCTTCCAGCTGCACTATGGCCCTTTGTTCAACTCAGCCTTTAAAAGAAATGAGTACCAGGAATCTTCATNGGGGGGGTAAGGAGCGGCTGGTGCATAAGGCTGACAACCTTACCGCCATCTTTGAGTCAGTTGTCTAGAGAAAAATGTGGAAACCTTGATGCCTCAACACTATGGGCTTTCATGGCCTGTTACAGGGCTAAGGTAAAACTATCCCCAGGGCTGTAGTGTGGCTGGGATGATTAGGTAACTTGAAAAAAAATCCACCTCATCGGAACTCAAACTTGTGACCTTCTGGCTTGCAGCATAATGCCTCAACCAAGTACACTGCCACATGGCTCTGTTACAGGGATAGCTTTACCTTTTTTTTATATAGATTAGAAAAGAATGTACATACTTAAGCTGCTTCTCAACATAGTCACCACTGGAATTTGGGCACTTGTATAAGGGTATAAGTTTTTACATGCCTGTATCAAAGAAGTCTGCTGCCTGTGAGCTCACTCATGTTTTGACACCTTCCATGAACTCCTCATTATTGTTGAAGCACTTTGAATGCAACCAGTTCTTCAGGCAGGTAAACAGATGGTAGTTGCTCAGAGTGAGATCAGGGCTGTAAGGACGGTGGTCAAACAACTGCTAGTTGAAGTGCTCCAGCAGTGCTGGAGTGCGAGCAGATGTATGCGGACACGCATTGCCATGGAGGAGCACTGTGAGCACACTGGATGTCAGCATTCCATGCCTTTTGTTCTTAGTGGCCCTCTGCAGGTTTTTTGTTGTTGTGTGTTTTGCAATACACTTCTGATGTTACTGTGGTCCCTTATTTCACGAATTCCACCATCAGCACTCCTTTCCTGTCCCAGAAAACAGTCGCCATCTGTTTTCTGGCAGATAATATTTGTTTGAACTTTTTCATCTTTTTTTGTGAATGAGTGTGCATCTACTGCTTTGACTGCTATTTGGTTTAAGCATTCACAAATGAAATCCAGGCTTCTTCACCTGTTCCTTATATGATGTGACTGAGACATTCAGTGCTATCGTCGTGGTATTACTTACTTACTTACTCATTGAGGAGCCGCCAATTGTGCAGCTACTCAAGAATTGCCCATCACTTTATGGAACCCGAAGGTTCATTACTGTGTTCAGAAGAGCCTTCCACTGGTTCCTGTCCTTCCAATCCATACCATCCCATCCTATATCTCTAAGATCCATTTTAATATTGTCCGCCCACCTATGCCTTTATCTTCCCAGTGGTCTCTTTCTTTCTGGCTTTCCCACCAATATTCTATATGCATTCCTCTTCTCCCAATTCGTGCTACATGCCATGCCCTCCTTGACTTGATAGTTCTAATTATACTTTGAGAAGAGTACAAGTTATGAAGCTCCTCATTATGCAGATTTCTCCAACCTCCTGCCACTTCGTCTCTTCTTGGTATTGCTCTAAAAAAGCCCAAGCCATTTTCTGTGTTTTATGTGCACCTTTGAGCATTTTCAGAGCTCATCTTGTATATGACTTGTGATAGCCTAGCTTGTAATAATCATGTAGAAAGGAGTGTGTGAAATTTCTGGAAATTCATACAAAAGTTCTGAAATTGTGAATTGCCGTTTTTCTCATATGTTTTGGTCAACACATTGAACAAGATTATCACTCATTACAGATGGCTGGATGGTAAATATGAACATTTCTTTTCCCACCCCTCTTTGAACATCCTACAACATGGTCCTACAGTCCCTTCACTCATTAAATTTTTTGCATAAAATGCACATAATTCATGATGGATTTTTGCAGCACTCATGTTATTAGCATGAAGGAAGCAGATAACAGTGGATTTTGCAGCTGGATGGATTGTCAAACATAGGACATTTCATAGCTCACTCTGTAGAGACAGGAACAAACACTAGGTGATCAGTTATGTGATGGTTTACAAGGCAATGAGTCATGTGATGCTACCT